AGTGTTGCTAGGCGACCGCAGACGATTTTAATCGAAAGTTTGATATTTTTAAACATAAATTCAGCAGACGATTTACCATTATAGCTTCATTTGTGTTGTTGACAGTAAATTGAAAAGTTCTTCTCTTTCAAAAAATGGAATTGAATCGTGAACATTTTCGTGCCATTATTTTTCATAACTTTCGACGTGGATTGTCAAGACAAGAGTGCTTCGATGAACTTAATTCTTTATTCAGCGATAAAGCGCCATCCTACAGCACTGTAAAAAATTGGTATAACGAATTTAATCGTGGTCGATGTTCGATCCAGGACGAATCCCGTGCAGGTCGTCCAAAATCCGTTGTTGTGCCAGAAAAGATCGATGCTGTGCGTGAACTGATAAAGCAAGATCGTCATGTGACATACCGTGAGATAGAGGCGTCTTTGGACATTAGTATGACTAGCATCAATAAAATATTGCATGAACATTTGAGCGTAAAAAAAATTTGTTCGCGTTGGATCCCGCATAATCTGACAAACGCTCAAAAAAAGGCTCGTGTCGATTGGTGCAAGGAAATGTTGGAAAAATACGTTCAAGGTACATCAAAGGCTGTGTATAACATCTACACAGGTGACGAATCATGGATCTATGCATATGAGCCGGAAACAAAACAGCAATCAACTGTATGGGTCTTCCAAGACGAGGCAAAACCAACAAAAGTTGTTCGAGGAAGAAGCACATCGAAACAAATGATTGCCTGTTTCTTCGGCATTAACGGTCATGTGGCAACAGTGGCGTTAGAGCAACGCAGGACGGTCAATTCTGAATGGTACACGACCATTTGTTTGCCAGAAGTCATCGGAGAAATTCGAAAAAAGCAGAAGAACAGGCGAATCATTCTTCATCATGACAATGCGAGCTCTCACACATCGACTCAAACAAAGGTATTTCTGACGGAGCGAAAGATCGAACTGATGGGTCATCCGCCGTACAGCCCTGATTTGGCACCCAATGACTTCTTCTTATTCCCACACATCAAAAATAAATTACGTGGACAACGATTTTCGACCCCCGAAGAAGCGGTTGATGCATTCAAAACGCATGTTTTGGAGTTACCTCAATCGGACTGGAAAAAGTGCTTTGAAAATTGGTTCAAACGCATGCAAAAGTGTATTGATCATCATGGAGAATATTTTGAAAAACAATAAAATCAATTTCGATCCTACATATTCGTTTTTTCATTATTAGGCCAGAAATATAAATAGCAACCCTCGTATAAGGTTAAGAGTAGCGTTATAAAATGTAAATTATCATTTTAAAGATTTACACGAATAGAAAGTGCTTATTTTAACAAATTTAAAGTACCGTGGTGAAAATTTTTTAAACAATATTTTTTATTGTTCATTGTATAATTTTATATTAAGCAAATATTTCTTGAAAAATTAAGCATATTGTCATCATTTAAAAGATGGACAAAAGTAGAATAATTTCGTATTAAAAATTAAAAGTTCCATGTTGCAAGATTTTAAATTTTTAATTCAATTTTAAATGTCAGTTGTATAATTATTATTGTATTAGTCTTATTTTTCAAATAAATATGCATTTTTTACTGACATTCTCAAATATTTTAACTTTGAAGCAATGTAAAAGGAAAAACACAAGTAAAATCCTTTTATATCAAGAAACCAAAAGTTCTATAGAAAAATTATTTGAATTGCTTTTTAAGGGTATATTGTATCAGTACATATTAAACGAATCATTTTAAAGGTATTAAAATACTAGACCAATCATTATTAAAGTATTTGACCAATTTTTAAATAATAGACCAATCATTAAAATATTAGATCAATTCGAAGAATGTTATACCAATAAAATATTACACCTATTATTTAAACTTATCTGAACTCATTATTTCTAATCTTAAACCACCATTTTAGGAGAAGTTTACAGTGTTTAAATACAGCGAGAAAAAAAAACCCCGATTACCCTGAATAACTTTTGATCTAATGATCAAATATTCACGTTCTATGACTCAGTATTAATGGTTTGAGGGGGTGACCTCAAATATCCTAATTAATAAGTGCAGACGATGTTTTAAAATACGAAAGTAATGTTAAGTTCAAAGGAGTCAGATACTTAAAATTTGATTTCTCAGTAGCTATTCGAACGATTTTGCTCAAATTTTGTATTTCGCCATATAAAATTATCTTCTTTATAAGTACGTAAAATATTGTATACCTTACAGTTCAAATTGTTTTTCAAAAGTAATAAAAAATATTATTATGAAATTTTTAAGTAAATTATTAAACAAAATAATAAAAAATAATAAATATTTACTGAAAGTTATTTTCTGCGCGGAATTATCTTTATATAAACTAATTTTATAAATGAGTGCAAAAAGTTTTCAATTCCCTTAAAAAATTCTGCAGTTATAATGAAAAACGTTATAGTGAAAAACGCGAAAACTAAAATTAACATTAAGGGGTTTAAACTTTCGGGCAACCTCCTGACCAAATTTATGGGACCATATTTCCTAGATAACGGCTACCCCCTATACTTTGGGGGTCAGAAATCTGAATCCATCGCATGTTTATTCAGAGAAAGTAAGTTTTTGAGTCTGATTTCGTATCTTAAAATATCATCTGCATTTATTAATTAGTATGTTTGAGGTCACTCATTTGAGCCATTAGGAATGAGTCTTAAAACGTGAAGATTCAATCATTAGATCGAAAGTTATTCAGAATGGTTCGTTTTTATGGCGTACTGTACTTGAAAAATAAATTATATTGATTTGAATGAATAAATGCTAACAATAGTGTGCTGTTAACATAAATATATATTGAATCACAATGGCACAATGTCAATCACAATTTGAGCTGGGATGGCTCAGAGGATAGAGCTTTAGCCCTCCAATGAGGTCTACCGGGTTCGAATCGCAGTGATGGCTGGTCGATACGAATTCCGCATCCGGCTTGCACCGACCACGCTGTTGACGTAAAATATCCTCAGTGGTAGACGAGTCATGAGTTAGAGTTCCCTTGCCGTCAGATTAACCATGGGTGGTTTTCGTGGTTTCCCTCTCCATGTAACGCAAATGTGGGTTTGTTCAAAAAGTCCTCCACGATGGCAAATTTCTCCCAATACTCGATACAAGAGTTCCCTTGTCTTCTGGATTAGGTTCAAAACTACAAGGTTACGGAGTTGAACAAGAGTAATCGTAAACCCAAAAAATTGGGTCGGCTGTTCAACGACGGTTATGAAATAAAATAAAAATCATAATGGCCAAGGAATTGCTCTAGAGATAGCTTGTAACTTTTGTATTCATCTGTGATACACTATAAAAAATTCTTGATCAAATTATGATATAAAGTAACCGCTTTGGGTGAGTCATTCCTAAAATTCATTTTACCGTAAATTATTATACCGTAATTTTTACAGTAACATTTGTTTATTTAGAGTGATGCAGTGATTTTACGGTAAATATTACCATAAAAATTACAATGTATCAGATTTTTTGTTCAGTAATAATAGGTTGAGGTAAAAAGTAACGGCTTCCTGAGTGTCAATACTTTTTAAGGAAATTTGATCCAGAATAAAATTTCTACTCAACTTATCATATCTAATCTTATCATATCTATTAGGAACCAGAGTAAATATTAGAAAATTGATACGGAAATTTAATGCAAAAAAAGGCATCTTTAAGCTTAGAAACGAAATATAAGGTACCATCATAATGATAGTAAATAAAAATGCAAAGATAGTAACTTTTCTTTAACTATTAATCATAATTTAATTAAAAGTTTCTATCTATAAAATGAGATAATAAGTTGTTTGTTTAAATTGTTACCATTAAATTTGCGGTTTTATACTGTTTAATTTTATCTTTAAATCTACTCTTATTAAATCTTAGCTTGTAAATATTAAGACTGCTCATATTACACATCCACATATTTGGCTCATAATAGGAAATTTAAATTCTTTTTACAGCTAGATGAGTTGATTAGTTTTGTTAATAGAAAGCATGTTTTAAGATAAGGTAAGTGATATTTTTTTAAATATTTTTTTCGTAAGATTTTTCATTTTGATTAATTTTTCATTTAAGATTTTTTTGGCTGACAGGGGAAAGGAGAAATCAACATCTGTTAGTAATCAATCCATAAAACGTTGAACAAACAATTAAATAGTAATTTGATTCATATGTAGAAGAAAGTTATATAAATTTGACACATTTGAGTGAGAAGTTAGTGGCAAGTTAGCTTTTAGGAACGTTGAATTGACATGTGAGCGTTGAACACAGAGGAAAAAAAAATCTGGTAAAAGTACTGTACTGTATAGTAACGACATTTTTGGTAAAAAAAAACAACAACATAATTCTTGTATTAAATACCAATATATACGGTATTTAAACCACTCATTTGGTAATTTTTTATTTCCAATGCTCACGGTTTACCGGATATTCTGGTTTTCAAAATTATAGTTCTTATTACCACATACTTAGAAAAAAATACAAAACTAAAAAGTAAATTTAAACGAATAAATAATTTTTATGCCATTTTCTTAAGTATCATAATAAAATTACTAAGTTTTACTTCATTTTCCAAATTTTATTGTATACTATTAAACCATGTCTTATTGTTAATTTTACGAACACTAAGTGTTTAGATAAAATTACCGAGGTTTTTGGTGTTCCCATAGAGCCAGAAATACGGTAAATTTTATCATATTTTAATATTTTGACCATACTTTTTTCTCAGTGTAGTAAATATTTCTTTTAGCTTTTGTATTTAATTTTTAAAAGTAATATGTGAAACCCACACCAGTTTAAATCCTGCACAATGTAATAGATTCACTATAAGAGTTCATCATAGAATAATCTCATAGCTCATCATAGAATCTTTCTTTCATTTTTGTTTAGACATAGTTATTGATCCTACCACATAAGAAATCGTTCAATCTAAGAAGGTTCACATGATAAAGTTCAGTTTATTTACTTATCTTCAATGACAGAATAAAAACACAAATTGTAAATAAATAATTTTATTTTGATTACTTTTCTTTTTACAAAATCCTAATAATAAATAACAGCAGCTTTGATACAAAGCTAAGCACTTTTGAAGATAGATTTAGCAAAATGTGCTTGGCGAAATGTAATAAATATAACTAATTTTTACAAAATATTAACAACAATGACTGTTTTTAAAAAAGAATTTGCGTTCGTTTCATCCATCTCATTCCAATGTGTGTACAGCTTCTTATCATTCGCTAGATGACATCCTTTCCAATTTCTTAGAATTTCTTTAAATTTTAAACCTGTAAAAAATAATTCAATGAGATCATAAAATTTAAAAATTATTTTTATGATTATTCAAAATTTTTACGAATTTTTAAATTAATCATTTTGATTTCAATTCTATAAAAGCTCTGAAAGCTACTTCTGAAATAAGAAGTTGATTTTAAGTAATTTGAAAGAATGTAAGTAAGAAATACACTGTAAGATCACTGTAAGATCACTATAAGATCTTTTTTCTCACTCGGCTATTACCATTTTTCTAGTTTTGTTTCTCACCTTTATTTTTTATTTTTTGTTGGCAACTTTTAGTTTTATATTTCAAATCATTCTTATTTCTTTCCTTTCTCGTCTGACAAGTGTTGAAAGTGAACGCCTGTTTTTGAGACATGTCGACTGTTATATCCAAATTTTATATTTTTAAACAAGTAATACTATAAGATCTTTAGTCAAATAAAAACACAGATGGTTAAAGTTTGATTTATAAAATACCAGTGTGTGTTTATCTGAAATATATTCTGCTTAAGATTTCTATTTTGAGAAATTTTTAAATAATATTCTCAATCAAATTCATGGATATTTACAAAAACAAACGATATTGCGACATTTTCGTTATTTTCAAAATCCGAAAAAGTATTCTTGTTATCATAAGTATTAAATTTGATTCAATTTTGATGTTAGACATTTTACAATGAACAATGAGAATAATTAACTGATTCATATTTTTAATAATTGCTTTGAAATATTATTTTTATCTTCTTCTTGTCTTTGTCTGAATGTGTGTCAGTCTTAGAATAAAACGATGAAATATATGAAAAAGTATTCAAAAATAAAGCTGTTTTTATAATTATTATTAAAAAAATTTAGGAAAGTCAAAGTTATTCATTGTGAAGTTATTCAAAGTAATTTATTCAGAGTTTTTTAAGGAGATAAAAAATGAACGTTAAAGTAAATCAATTTAAAATTCATTTAGAATAAAGAAGAATTTAAGAGATTAAAATAGTTTTATTTTCTAAATTTAACTTATAAGAGCCCAAAATAGTTATTTGTGTAAGAATAATTTAGTTTTCACCAGATTAGAATAATTTGTTATTTTATGTAAATTTTTTAAACTAGATTAAAATAATTTAGAATATACCTAATTAATAATGTCCGTATCCATGTCGTGGAGCAGAGTATGATGGTTGGTGGTGGGCTGGGTTGGCATGGAGTTCAACATCAGCGGGGTTTTGGCTTTCGGTTCCTGGTTCGTTGGTCTTGACAGAGGCACGGAAACCATGTCCATCAGCTACGTAGTCAACTTGTCTTTGGATTCCATGGGCATCAACGTAGCTGTAGCTTCCTTGAACGTTGCCGTGTCCATCTCCGTGCTCTTGTCTGGTTTGTTTGAATTCACCATGGTCACCGGCAATGTCGTATCCATATTGGTATGGGATGGGTTGATGCTAAAGTATAATGAAATAAATATTTATTGGAATTTAATAAAGATCGTGCAGAACTATGACGTAATCAATGACGTTATTTTATTAGCTTTGAACTGTACGTTTAAAACTGAGTTTGAGAGAGATCACTTATACAATGAAAAAATTAAAAATTGTGCTTATGCCATAATTAATTTTCTATTTAATTATTATTATAAAAATATAAAGTGTAAATTTTGCAAGAATGTATTTGGCATTCTTCACTGAGATAAAAATAGGAAATTTGAAAACATTTATTTATCTATAATTTTCTCTGAATAACTTAAGCATATGCCTTAAGGATATTACCCTTAATAAATACGATTAATTAAAATAGAGTATTTGCAGTCATATAATAATTAGAGTAAATTTCAGAATTAAAAATGCGAATAGTGAAATACTGGATATAATTCATGTTTTACCAAGCTAACAAGTGTCACAATCTCTTAAAAATTTTTTTGAGAATCAGTAAATATAAATTATTTTATGAATATACTAAAATAATAAACTTTTAAAGAAAATTAAATGTAACAGTAAATTTGCATAAGGTTTAAGTAGACATGAAGCCTCTAATCAAGATTTCAAATATATAGTCAAGATTTTGCTAACATAAATATATGATAATAATAAAAACTTAATTAAATGCCAATGGATTTTATTATGCATTGATTCTTTGTTAAAATGTAATAAAATATATTTCCAGGAATAAATTATTTAATCTTTTATTAATACATTTCTAAAAAGAACTTCGTTTATGATCTTTAAGAGAACTCAAAATATTCTTACAACAAAAAAGACAGATTTTCAAATTTAAGAATTAATTTGGTCTTTGAAGTCAAATAGAAAAATTATTATTTTTTATGACTAAGAAACTTTATTTTTCAGTTTTAATTTATGATTATTTATTATAGAAAGTCTACTTACGTGTGGTTCAGGTGCATAACCATGTCCATGTCCATAGCCGTATTGTGCTAAAGCAACGGCGGCGAGAGAAGCAATAAGAAGTGCCTGGTTTTAAAGAAAATTAAACAAATTTTTATTATATAGTATAATAGTGTAATAAATGCTATAAGTTGCACTCGGCAAGAAATATCCATTGAGATTGACGGAGTATGTTACTTGAGATAAGATTTTCGGATGGTAAGATTTCCTCATTTGTAACAGAAATTTAACTTAGTTATAAATTTTAGAAGTTCTGGAAGTCGTATTAGTCCCAATATTTGATTTAGAAATATTTGTATCTCTGCAAGTCAATACATCGAATTCAATACGTGTTTATTAATGATAATGAACAATATAACATGAACAATGATAATGAACAATGATAATGAACAATATATTTGTTAGATTGCCTTAAATAATAATTTAAGTAAATTATGTGCTGAATAGTTAGTTATAAGTTAAGTATCTATTTAGAATAATTTTTTTTTCTGTCGAAACTTAATTTGCAAAGTAATTTTTTAGATTTATTTTTGATCCTTTCTAAAATGGCTGTGGAAATCTTTACATAAACGTTGCTGTGGGGCCGCATACTTTCATACCAATTACTGGGGATAGAGTTTGCTTTTTTTGTGCAATAGCATATATAATATATGATTCTAAAGTTATGGCTTGAGAGGAAGTAGTATAGCTCGTTATGGAGCATTGGGATGATTTTTCTATCCTATCTCACCACAGAGATGGAAATAATTTTAATACTTATGCCGCCTACTGTGCTGAAATGTCCTTAACTCATACTTACAATGGATTATCTGATTTAATAGCTGACGTACAGATTTTAAATCATTACTAACCTTCAATATATAAAGAACTCACACAATGTCACGAAAATCTATTGAAAATAGTTAAAATTAAAACCAAAGTACTTTCGCGCAAGCAAAGCTAGACGGTGAAAAAATATGTTTAATATATTGTTAAAGTATTCGGATTAGAGAGAGAGGTTGAAGAATATTTAAATATAGAGCTATACATTCGACTTGGTTACCAATAAAATTTATGTGTTGTACAAGATAATTTTTAAAAACGGACAAGCTGATTGCCAAAGGCTGGTAGCAATATTATAAATGTAGTGTTCCATTATGTGGCTTTAAAAGATCACCGACAGAAAAAGTAAAATATAAGTTACGTCATTTAAAGTGTATTCTTTACTATTTAAAATTTTTATTTATGAACTCAGAGCAACTTTTTGTCTCTGACGCTTAGCCATGAGGCCATTTTGGTTCATTTATTGTACCAGCCGCAAGAAATGGGTTAACAAATTTTGATTTTTCATTATCACATAAAGGAGCATATAAGAGTTTAATGAGTATTAATTTTTATGTGTCTTTTTTATGAAATTTTACTCATCTAAATTTCTAATGTGATCTAATAAAAAATAATTTGTTACCCAAAATTATAAAACAGTCAGAATATTTGATAATTTAAAAGATTTATAGAAAATTTAAATTATTTCTCTCTGTAGTAACAGCGTTGCAGTAAGTTATCATAACACTAGTTTGTACTATACATTTTTCCTGGAAATTAATTATCAAGTCAGAAATAAATGCATACATATTTTCAAAGAGTATTTAAAGATATTCTATAAATATATCATTAATAGTTATTAACTATTAGTATTATCTGCATTAAAGTTTATGTTTAAAACATTTTTACGGACATTAACGTTTATATATAATTATTAGCAAATTTTTCTACTGAAGAAACTTAGGGTAAATTAAAAATTGTGAGCTCGAAAATGTGAAACATTTAGAATAATTAAAAGTGTTAAAGGTACATAGAAAATTTAAATATTATGTTCTATAACTTTATTGCAAAGAAAATGATAAAAAGAGTTTATATTCTTCATTTTTATTGGAAATTAATTATCAAGCCGAATGCAACTGCATACATATTTACAATGGGAATCAAAGTATATACAGTAAATAAAAAATTAATAGTTATGAATTATTAATATTACATCCATTAAAGTTAATATTTAAAATATTTCAACGATATTCACGTAATTATTATTGAATTTTTCTTCAGAAAAAATTTAACGTAAATCAATAATTGCGAGCATGAAATTTTAAGACATTTAAAGTATCTAGGTGTTAAAAGTTTATTAAAAATTTAAATATTGTATTCTATAACATTATTTTAAAGAAATATAACAAAAAGAGTTAATACTTAATGTTCACTGATGTATTAAATTAAAATGTTCACTAAATGTATATTTCAAAACAGTCATTTTTACATTCAGTACCTTTAACATTAAAATCTGCTAAATATTTAAAACATAATTTTAAAAATAAAAAACAAAACTTATGAGATACTATATACTTACCTTAAACATCATATTGAAGTTTAAATGAGTGTTGTTTTCTTAATGAAAAGAAAAGTAGTTTTACGAGCAGAACGATTCGAATGATTTTCACTCCATTGATCAAGATGTTTATATACTACTTCGGAAACTAAAGAAAAATAGTAAACTATTTAATTTTTTCTTTTTGATCTCGTGACATTAAAGTGGGGAACTGTCACACCCTATTTTGATAAGGCTGTTGGGCGACATTTTGTAGTCCAAATTGAACTTTTGAACAGACTGGGGGAGAATTGGAATAATCGAGGAAATAACTTGTCTGAGAGGGGAAAGTTTATTGATGGGTAGGTGTTAACGGTAATTAGACAACTACTTTCGATTCTAAAGAGTGAAATATTAATTATGCATTAAATAAACTAATTAAAATGCAGTTGTTTTAAACGTCAAAATTTATATTCTTTATCTGAATAGAATATATATAAAATTAAAAGGAAAGTTGCGGCTCTTTAAATACTAGGAAGTTAATTATTGTTTTAAATCAAAATGAAAAAGTCCCTCAGGCTGCTTTTCTTAAGAATAATTTTAATTTAAAAAAAAAATGATCCGAAATAAGAACAGTTTGATTTAAGCTGGACCGAACGTTTGATAATGCTTGGACTACGTTTGGTCTAAACAAGCTTAGAACAAATTTAAATTGAAATACTTATAAATGTAAAAAAGAAACTTTTATATTTTTGTAGAATTTCATCATAAATTTTTTTAAAAAAAAATGTACTTTAAATTAAAATTTTCGGAATCATTTTGTGTGATATTGGTTCTGAACTTATATTTGTGATCAAAAATATAAAAAAAAATGAAACTGTCATTTTGTATATTACTTTTTTACATTAATTTCAATTATATTAATTTATTTGTTACTAACTGAAACACATTTTTTTGAAATTTTGAATATAAATATAACTTGTATATAAATATAACTACTTTCAGAAAGTTTTTTGTCCAGATGAAGATTGCTTAATTTTGTACAATCAATTAATAACACAAATTTACGTTTTGTTCCATTATTTGTGCTTTATTCAAGATATCTTATACATGTGTAGCTGATACAAAAAATTTGGTTTGTGTCACGGTTTTCATAAACGCAATATAGTCATAAAAACAAAAAAGTTATTTCATATAAAACTGAATAAGTTTTGATATTTTTTTATTCAATAAACTCGGTTTTGAATCTACGCATTCCAGTTGCAAACACTTATAAGTTGTGTGACAAATATGAATAAAATAATATCAAGTATTGTAAAATGTCAGTATTAATATATTTTGACATTATAACCATTTTGTTTGCCCATATCTTATTCAGATTGCATTTTTATTTTTGAATTTTTACACCTAAACATTAAATTTTAGGTATTTTATACCTTAAAACTGTGATGTAGTACTTATCCGAATTTGATGTTGAAAAACTCTAAAAATTATGTGAATGATTACTTTATTTCAAGTCAATACCAAATCGGACGTTCGTACACATTTCAAAGGATGTTGTTAAATCTTAACACCACTAATTGGTAAAGCTTATACTAATTAGCAGCTGGTTGCTGTGAGCTCCGTGAATTTGGCGAAAAGTAAGCGTTTATTTAAATTATTTAATTATATTCTAATGCGAAATGTTGGTAAAGCAAGTTTTAAACCTATAACAACTGCTATTGGACCATTATTTGCTAAAAGTGATTATTTCAAAAAAGGCGAATAATTCAAAATATGGTAGACTAGAGGGCGGGTTCTTTGCATGATGTGTACTTTTAGTCAATTATATCTTGTTGGATATAATTGACTAACTCGTCATGTAAAGAGCATTTAATACCACGTAAGTATCAATCCTTTTTCTTGATTGATTCAGGAGATCGATTTACAAGATATTTTATTTTATTTTATAATCACCGTTGAACAGGTGACCCAATTTTGGGTTTAAGAGTATTAATGTTCAATTCCGTAGCTTTGCAATTTTGAACGGAATCCAGAAGACAAGGGAAATCCAGGATCAAGTATTGAAAGAAATTTCGAGGAGGACTTTTTCATGAAATTAACCTGCATTTGCGCTACATGGAGAGGAAAACCACGAAAACATCCCACAATTAGTCTGACAGCAAGGGGACTCTAATGAACCGTCTGCAACTGAGGGTATTTTACGTCAACACTGTGGTTGATGCGAACCGGATGCGGAATTCGTATCAACCAGATATCACTGAGATTCGAACCCGGTTCACCTCATTGGAAGGCGAACGCTCTATCCATTGAGCCATTACGGCTCTTACAAGAGATTTGTCGAAAATGTGAGTCCCTGTAATTTTTGCCCTCTTTGTAGTCTAACCTTATATTTATAACTATTGGGATGGCAATTAAGTTCCCACAGTTTTTTTCTTCTAAAGTTTAAAATGGGTGAGCATTCTATTTTCACTGCTAGTTGTTCTCTTGTTGTTTGATGTGGATTTTAATACTAAAGCTGATTTAATCGCTCCCCTTCGAATTCAACTTGATCCCAAGAAAGAGGTGCGTCTTTGAGGTCAAAACTTCCATTTAAATAATTGGCATATCAAGCACGGCTCATTTTTCTCAATTTCATACTTCATTATAATCATATTAAAATTAACATAAATTATCTAAAAAAACATAGATAACGGTAGTTTAAAACATTCTATTTCGAATGATCTAAAACATTAAGCCCAAAATATTTGATTACATGCGGAATATTTAAAAATATAAATAAAACCGTTGAAACTTATTTACCAACCCAATAATTAAACAAATTTAAAAAGGACAGATTCATAAAGTAACTTTTATAATCACTTATAATTTCGATTTAGTTACTCATTAATGATTAAAATCTTTTTAAATGTTAAAATATAATCCCTTTTTTTCTGAATTTTAAATTATATAGTGGGAGGTTAGATAAATCCGGATCTTTATGTTTTTTTTTTTTATGAAACTCCATGAATAAAATTTCTTAATTTATTTTGAAATAGAAAATAGCTATTTATCTAAAAGGAAAATTATTTAATGAAAAATATATATTTTGGTGAATAAATTAACCTAATTTAGGATTTTTCAGGATAAGTGAAATCCCGATTTTACACGATCTGGTCAGATAAAACCTAGTTTACGTGGAAATAATAATAAAAATGAGTTTTTTCTATTGAAATATTTATTTATATTTAGCAATATATAAATTAAAAAAACCCTTCTATGCTAAGAAATATAAAGGGCTTTCTTATGAAAAAAAATATATATATTTCAAATTCATCGTAAAATAAGTCACTTGATCAGGTCTAAGAAAAAAAATCTCACTGTAAAAAATTCCAAATTAAGTTACGGTAAAAAGTGCCAACACTTTGAAGGAATATACTTTTTATCGTAAAATTTTACGGAACAAAGAATGTGATATACCGCAAATTTTACAGTAATATTTACTAAAAGATCATTGAAATCACTGTAATTAAATACTGTAAAAAATTAGGGTATAAAAGTTTACGATGAAAATGGATTTGGCGGATATTGTACCAGGGATGTCAATATTTTTTACCGTAAATTGATCCGGAATTTTTTATAGTGAACAAATAAAACTTAGTCTACGCACTTTTGAAGTTGAAAGATCCAACCTTCCAGGAATTCTGAAGAATTTATTGAAAAATGTGGAAATTTCATGTAGTTTTTTTTTACTTGCATTTTTTGCTATATACTGAAAATAATAGACATAGCAAGTGAGAATTCGTTGAACAAGTGGAGAAGGCGAAGGAAATAACTTTTTCTAAATCTAAAGAGTAAACTATTTATGAGCTAGATTTTCCAAAATTAAAATATTTCAATTTTTCGAAGTATTACTTTAACTTAGCAGTTCATGAAAGGGCGCGATTTAATTTCTATAAAGCTCATTAATAACTATGATTGTGCTCATAGCAAGTACAGTGATTGTTACATCCAAAATAAAACTAGTATTAGTCTTGATTTCTAATTTCAAGTGTCTTAAACAAAGATTTGAGACAGAAACTGTTAAGAATTTATGTTTTTTTTTGTTATCATACGTTAGCTTAATGTAACATATAACATAAATAACGTTTACTAATATAAAATATACCAACAGCCTATATACCTATAATAGCCTATATAACTACTAACCAACCGAATACCAACGTAAATACCAACACATATAGAATGAATCTAAAATTATGGGATTAACTTGGAGGGGTGGTTGGCATATCAGAAGGATTAAGAATTGGATCATAAAGATTAAGATTGCAATTGCCATCGTAAGCCTCTAGTGGCTCTTCCATAGTATGACTGTTTCAATGTGTTTCTTTGAGTATGTATTTTTTGTCTTAATTATCTTGATTTCATCTAAATGTTATATTTTCTATATATTTTCTATATATAATGCTATATTTTCTATATATTCTTAATTTCATCTAAATGTTATAATTATTGTCTCCATTTGCATTTAAATAGGTTACAATATCAAATTTTTTAGCGTAATTTAATGATCTGGCTATCAATTTGACCAGCTTGCCAAATCATTGAATTACTATCAAACAGTTTCAGAATCAACATACTTTGAGTGAGTGGGGAAAATAACAGATTTGCCAATAGTTTTATTTGTATCAAAGGGGGAAAAAAACCAATGAGAAAATTTCTTTTTCGAAGAAAAAGTTTCTTTTTCAGACAAAATTCTTTTTTTCAAAAATTTCTTTCTTTCAGACATCTCTTCCTAACGATTTAAATGAACTTTTAAACATTTTTTGAATAATATAACAATTTTTAAAGTTCCCCTTGCACCCAGTGCCGGCGGAAGATGTTGTCATGCCCCGGGCGATATATATATATTTTAAAAAATATTTAAATTAATTTAAAAAATATTTAAATGCATTTTTTTAAAATTTTAAATGACAATATTTCTATCAGATAATTATAAAATCTATATCAATTCTAAATATTGATTTAAAAAACATGCTAACAAGATAAATTACAATTAATGTATTAAAAGTTAAAAAAGAATTAGTTTAATTAATGAGAATATTATCTCAAGTATTCTAGAAGTAATTTATATTATATGTTACATGTTTAATGAACATAATCTTTTATGACATACAAATTTATCAGCATAAACATTAGAATCTATTTTTTCCGTGCTTTAGTAGCCGCAAACAGTTTTATAGACTCTTCAAAATCAGTTGTTTTTGTGGTTTCATTACAATAGACATTATCTTTGTAATTTTCATTCAATCTGGCCGCATTTTGTTAAAAATTATTTTGAAAATGAAGAATTTTGTTGTCGACTTCCGGATATCAATTTATTTTATGCATTTTTAATGATATTTTTCATGCATTTATAAGCTCATTCATTCATTCGACTACTCACTAAAATGTCCTTCAATGATTCGTTTATAAACAAATTCACTGCTATTTATTGCTGACTCGTACTAATTCTCCTATTCACTGATCCATTTATTGGTATCTTTTCATTTCTCATTCTTACTTTATTCACCCGCTGTACCTAAAATTGTTCATGATGACAGTTTTCGTGACGAAGCGAAAGAAAATCTAAAAAACATATAAAAAACAGAAATAAATTGTAATTTGCTTAAAGGAATAAATTGTTTATGTAATACACTGTCTTAAAAATAAATTAAAATTGACCTCGTATAAAACAAATTAAGAACGGACTGTCGTCATAGTAATATTAAAATATCAAATGATTATTCCTTCCAAATAACTTTTGGAAAATATTAGTTATTCTCTACTCGGAGTAATATTGGTATATAAAAATAAATAAATAAAAACCTACGAGCAATGCTTACTACTACAATAATAGACATTTAGATAAATCAGATGAATAAAGAAGTTATTGAGCCAGCTATTAGAAAATATTTTTGGAGAAAAAAGTCTTACTTCAGCTTCCCAGAAAAATCTTCTAATAATTATTTTAAATGCATATCATAGAGCAAAATATGCAAAATATTGTAAACGCGTATAAATGTTTCTTGCTGCTAACTTAACATTTACTAAGATCTTGGTGATTATTTAATTATCTTAGAAATTAGCCTTTTTGTCTTGTTTCTAAAAGTCCCAATATCTCATAAAACCCAGTCAAGATTTGAGTAAGAAACTGAAATTTAAATTACATTTTAAGACGAAATCGAAGTATGTTCTACATAAAATATAAATATTTGTATCAAAAAATTCATATTAAATTAGGAGTACTGAACCATAAATCTCTACAGAAAAGATCCTTCCTGAAAAATACGGAGCTCATTCTATTCAATGTCAAGCGAGTGGTTTTTCTGCTGCACACTCTTCGTTCCATCTTAAGTAAAACTTTTTCTTAGAAAACTTTAACCATAAAAAAAGTTAACCTAAGAATATATAATTTATAAAAAATTATATATAAATATATTTTTAAAGCAAATAACACTTTAAAAAAAAGGAGGAAATAAATAATTTACGGAACATTACTCTGGGTTTTGCTCGGCACCACCTTTACCTGTCGCTCTGGGCGGATCGCCCGCCCCTTTCACCGGCCCTGCTTTCACTTTCTGATTAAATTTTTAAGGCTAATTACATAAACGGTTCTGGAGCTATAAGTGAGACACACAGGCGAACTCTTCAGTTTATTGTAATGGATCGATATAATTTTTAAGCTATTTTTTTTAGGAGAGAAATAAAAATCATAATAAATTGAAATTTAACAATGTTTTTTTAATGGATTAACAGATCCTACGAATCTATGATGAATAAGGAAAGTGAACTGCTATATGTCAAGCAAAACATTATATCAGAGAACTTATCGAAAATTATATACTTATTTGTATTGAGACAAACGGTGGTCTTTTTTTTTTTCAATTAATAAAATTAATATATTTTTCTTTGGGTGTGCCTGTCTTCATTTATTTGAAAATTATTGCCAATTTAGATAACTTCCGCTTAAGATCGGAAATAATAATTATGTCTGAAGGAACTTCTATGATATCTGATTGATTACTAAGATTATATTTGTAACCTATTTAGGAATATTGAATTGAATAATAATTCCGTTTTCTAACAAAATGGGAAGAATTTATGAAAAATCAACAGTCACACAAAGACAGCCATTATTGATTATATCGCGCACGGAAATAGAATATTCGCGTTTCTAAATTTTGCATACAATAGAAGGTGCGCTTTTTTTTCTTTTTACTTTCTTCTCCGCATGTTTTCAAATCAATTCAGAAAAAATGCTTCGATTTTCAAAGTTTGATATTAAAGATTAAGAAAGGCAATTATTCAAAAATAGTAAAGAGGAAAAAAAATATTGATTTTTCTTTTAAACTGTGAATCGTGATTTGCAAAAGTTAGTTTTGGTAATGCACTGATTACAATGTTTGTTCAGGATTCTGAAAAAATATCTATATAGGACTGTGATAATGGAACAACTTGTATAGATCTTGAATTGGAGAATAGTTTATATTCAATATTGCTTTTTAAAATTTGTGTGTGATTTGAAAATTCACAATTCACAAAAAAAAGTAGTTGAACAACTCATTCGACGGTAGTAAAAATTCGACCGAGTGGAATTCTTATTTTTGATTTTCTAAACACTATACACTAAAACTGATAGGAGCCAAATTCTCATCTCAAGATAATGTGGGGGTTAAGAACTTAAAAAAAAAAAAAAAAAAAAAAAAAAAAAAAAAAAAAAAAAAAAAAAACTATGCAAGAAATGTAAATAAACAAATACTTTTATTTGTCTATAAATCTTATTCATTTTTAGATCGGTGTCTGTAATGATAAAGGAAATACGAATGAATTAAATTATTAAACCCTTTAAGAAATTTTTTTGAAATTTAATAGCATTCTTCGCTGTATCTTTTTAAAATCAAGTATAATATTCTTATCCACATTTATTCTCTGTTCTTCTACTTTCTTAATTCGTGGCACCATCTATGTGTGGTTTTAGAAAGAAGTTTTTTCTTCTTCCGCGCTGTTCAGTTAATTATTTCTGTCATAAATGTAGAAATATTTGCTTAATTATGGTATTCCTTTTCGTAAAAAAAAATCGAGACATTTGTAGTCTTCAAGTAGCATGATTTATAAAACTTAAAACACATCAACAATTTTTAAAGAAAATTTGGAAAAGGAAAATATAAAACGATGAACTTTTCTCAGTAATCATTGATTTTATTTAATATAATGTTAAAAGTTCTGGATCAAATTGCGGTGAAAATTACCAGCACTCATGATAATGGTACTTTTAACCATGAAATCCATATTACTGGAACATCTTACGGACAAAAAAAATCTGATGAATTGCAATTTTTACAGCAATAATTACGTAAAATACTGAATCACTGTAATTTAATAAATATATTGAAAAAATAACGGCACAATATATAACGATAAAAATGGATTTTACGGATGATCCACCCAAAGTTCCGGTACTTTATAACGTAATTTGATCCGAAATTTATTGCAGTGTATTTTACAGCGAAATTTATAACATTTTGAATGCTCAATATTACTTAATTGATGCTCAATATTAATGAATGCTCAATATTACTCAATATATTACTTAAAGTGACAGAATTTTTTAGAGAGACAGTGTACATTTTAAAAATTTTGAAATTGATAGCTTCAAATCGTCTAAAATTTCTCGAAATGTGTTTAACTTAATAAATTACAAATAAATTCTATTGCTGAATAGTATAGTCAATAAATATATGCCACAATTGAAAATAAATTAATTTATTGAACTAAATATTTACAAAATAAGGTGATAAGCCATAAGGCTGTTTTTGTTTTCATGCAAAATTAAAAAATTAATTCTTGAAGTTGATTATAAACGAAGGATTAGGCTTCATGAAATAAATAGAAGTGTTGATCACACGTGAGAAATTCCACACTAAATGATCCTATTTTAGAATAGCATAGAATTCTTTTGTAAATTGTAAAATCCTAGATGATTTATCTGAAAAGAAAAAACACTTAATTATTAGAAATATTTTACTATAAAACTCAAACAGTATTCCATTTTAGAACTCTCAAATGTAAAACAATTCTGTAATAATTATAAAGAATATCGAATGAATATTTCGTGTGTTTTGGATACAGATTTTGCTTAATGAATCTGATTTTCATATTGCCTTAATATGCTTAATGTTAAACTTTTACATGATATTTAACATTGCTATAAAACTTTTAGTATGAGGAGGGGATATTTACTCTATTACTGTTAAAACACTAAAGTTGCTATTAGTGAAATTATGTTTTTTTACCATATTTTCTTTTTGTATGTTTTTTCTACTAAAAAAAACCTTCAATTTTGGAAGTAGCATAAGAAAACAAAATCAGATTTAATTGAATGCATCAATCAAATTGAATGCATAAGATATCAACTTTAAATGGTATTGAGAACTAACTATTATGATTTTATTTAAAACTTTCTTTTAAATATCTGAAAAAGTTCTAGTAATTTCAGTAAATTCAAGAAAAATAGTAAATTTTATCATATTCCATAACTTTGGTTGATAGTTCGAAGGCAAAATACTATTAAATAAAAGCAATTTTATATTTAACATGAAAAGATTAAAAAAATAAAATTTTTTTATGCAAAACCTAATCAACCGAATTAAAGCTTAATCAATTTATGTAAAATTTACCCAGTTTTTGTAAAGATTGAAATTATTTTGTAAAAAATACAATCAACTGATCAAGTCAATCAACTCAAGTAAATTAATAATCAACTTAGTAAAATATTACTCATCAAATCAAAATTTTAAATAAACAAAAAATTTAATTTAATTATTTCTGAATTTTAGATCAAACTTCAAAAATAATGGTTTTATTGAATAAGTGAAAAAAATTATCAACATTTTACAATTGTATAAATTGCTAAATTCAAAAATATCTTTGTGGTAAAAATGTTTAATTATCACGTTTTACCTCTTTGTCAGAAGTCTAGTAGTACAAACTCAAAATTATTTCTTCTAACGAAAGTCGAGTTGAATTGTTTTACAGCAATGTGGGGCCCCTAGTATGTTGTCAGAAATTGTTTTTGATCTCTAATAAAAAACAGACTGCTAAAATTAATTTTAAAATAATTAATGAAATAAAATTAAGAACTAATTAAGAAATTAAGAACTAAGTTTGAATTCTAAATTAATGCACCAGTATGGTTGTTTACATTAAGACTGTTTAGTCAAACACCTCATGTTAACAATAAATAAATAAATAAATTTTTCATCGAAATCGTTAATAAAATGTTTGCGTTTCTATACCTATACCTATTATATACCTACATATCATATTTGTTCATACCTATTTAATAGTGTCCGTATCTTGGTGCAGAGTAGGCTGGTTGGTGTACTTGAGCAGGTTGGGCATGGAGTTCAACATCAGCGGGGCTTTGGTTGTCAGTTCCTGGTTCGTTGGTCTTGACGGAGGCACGGAAACCATGTCCATCAGCTACGTAGTCAACGGGTCTTTGGATTCCATGGGCATCAACGTAGCTGTAGCTTCCTTGAACATTGCCGTGTCCATCTCCGTGCTCTTGTCTGGTCTGTTTGAATTCACCGTGGTCACCGGCAATGTCGTATCCATATTGGTATGGGATGGGTTGAGCCTAAATTGTAGACATATATAATTTATTTAAGAAAGACTAAAAAGTTTGAACCAGAATCCTTAAAATATTGAAATATCAAAATTAATAAGAATTTAATGGGGTTACTTCGCGTTTTGCGATCAAAAATCTCATACCTCATTTTTTATTTTATAAGAAAGTACAATTATTAACGATTGTACATTTTTTCCTCGATATTTCTCCTTTTTTGTCTTATATCTATAGATTCTATTCATCTTTATTAAAAATATATTTAATTTAATATTCAAAATATTATACTCCAAAAAATATACAAAATTATATAATATAATATTTAAAAGCAATAAAAAAATTATATTTAAATTTCACAGTGTAATTAAAATTAATTAGCGATATACATAAAAGCACATTACACTGTAAGAAATTCCGAACAAAATTTCGGTGAAAAGAACCGGCTCTCAGGGTGTGGTTAATTTTTACCTTAAAATCCATTGTTACTGGAACATATTACTGAATAAAAAATCTGATATACCTAAATTTTTACAGTAATATCTGCGTCAAATTATTGAATCACTCTAATTAAATAAATATTACTTTAAAAATTACGATATATTTTCTAAAAAATGGAACGGGTAAAAATGGATTTACCCAAAGTGCCAGTACTTTATACCATAATTTTAATCGGTATTATTGATAGTGCAATTAAAAAAAGTCATTGGAAGTGAATTTAATAAAATTTTAGCTACGAAATAAAAAAATATTTGATAAGAACACTTACGAACTATTATCAAAGAGCTTCGATAAAAATTATGGAGCTTTTTGTTGTTCCCATAGAGTCAGGAACACAGTAATTATTGCCATATTCTTGCAGTTTTAACTATATCTTTTTTTCAGAGAGTGTAAATGCAATTTTTATAATGGTATTTGAACTTTTTACTCATTGCTTTTCTATAATTATACTTTCCGTTTAAAACTCGGTACTTTTATTCCAGTACTTGTACTTTACTCGTTACTTAAGAAAAAACTCTTTACACTAATACTCAACTGTGTTATTTTTCTTTTAACAATTTTTAACTCTTTTTTCTTCAGCAAATATTCGAATAAAGTATATTTTTTCATATCTTTAAAAATATCTTGTTCAAATAAAGTAAATAATTAGGAAATGAAATTGTATATTTTTTAATTTATGTAACTAAAATTTTTTCTGCTTTAAAACTGCGAAAAACTATACTAGCAAATGCAGACTAGCTTTAAAATTTAAATATGGAGATCTTTTTTCAGTTCTTTATGTCTAAAGCTTATTAACGTCCGCTACGTACATTCCGAATATAATTAAAACTTATTAAAACTCTCACAAATAATTTATTTTTATACAAATTCATGAAACATCGAATGAAAATCATAAAGTAAACTTACGTAGTCATCATGATGACCATATGCAGGGGCGTGACCATAGCCGTATTGAGCTAATGCAACTGCGGCGAGGGAGGCGATAAGGAGAGCCTATTGGAAAAATATTTTTTTCATTAATAATTAAATCAGTTATGCTGCATTAAATGCTGATCAAATGTTGACTCATTTTTATACAATTTTTTCCTTTTTATGTCTATGTATTAAAACATATGTTAATAAAATGAAAACAATTTTTTCAGGAATACGAAAAAAAAGGTAACGGATATTTTTTTCGAAACTTTTAAATGAGAAATAAAAATAATAAAACTTTAAAAACACAGTCAAAATTATTTTTGAAGAAGGAAACTCTTAATTATAATAATATTTCTAAAATTTATTATCTAAAAAATTGTTTTAGCCCTTTCTTAAAAATGGGACGCTGTTGTCCCTCAAATATATATATTTTTTTCAGAAGCACTAATTACAAGTAAAACTATTTTTTGGTATTTTAAATTATAAAAAAAATCTAATAGTTACTAAAATTATTACTATATTTATTCTAAAATGTGAAATCCAAAGAAAGTAGTTTAAATTGCTTTTTTATTCATAATCATAAATTCTTCAATAATTGAATTCGTAAATTAAAGAAATTTCAATGATAAACAATTGTTTCTCTAAGATCTAAATTACAGCAAATAAGTGTGATTTTGAAAAATTATTGTTTGGAAGTGTTTAGAAAATTGAAATTTTTTACCTTTAACGTTATCCTAAGAAAATTTTACCTTTAACGAAAAAAGGACACCGTTGTCTGAGGCCGTATTTCATAATCAAAAATTTTTAAAATACTAAATACAATACTTTTTAACCTATTTTGGCCTTAAATTAATACAAAATAATGAAAAAAGTACGATAAATATGCTTCATGAAAATTCTGCGTCAAAGGGCTGAGTAAAATTATTATTACTATCATTATTATTTTTATAATAGTTTCTGCCTAAAGAAACATTACATTTTAGTTTGTAAAAATATTGTGCGAACCTGCGAATGTAGTAAACTAAGTAAGCAAACTATAGTAAACTATAGTAGCAAACTATAGTATAAAAGCTATAGTAAGTAAACTGAAAGCTAATTGCCATCATTGAAATTATTTATTAAATTTATTTTTTCAGACCGTTTAATTACGTATTTTAAAAATCCATTTTTTAAAATCATGATAAACCTTACCTTGAACATCATGTTGTATGCTTAAGAATGTTTTTCTAAAGAAAAGATAAACTTCAGAGCTGTTGAGATTGAATGATTCTGAGTCAATCGTACGAGAGTTTATATACCTACTTGAAGCAAGAAAAAATTTAGAAAATAATTTGAATATTTTGATCGTGATCTTGCGACAGTTAATTAGGTAACGTCACACCCATATTTCTCACAAGGCCGTCAAGCGACCTTTTCCAATCCAGGTTGAAATAAAACTATAAAATTAGAAATAACATATAAAATTATTAAAGAATCAAAACGAAATATATAAATTTACAATTTGAATATCTTTGCACTAATTCAGTAAAATATATATTTATTTTTTCATTTTATATACCTCGCAGATTGATTGTTTAACTTTCATCCGATTGATAAAATTAACATGTTTTGTTTTTGAAATTATTTACTAAAATAAAATATTTACCGTGCAATTTTATAAATACCCAAATAATATATTTCAATCAAAGTGAATCCATATAAATTTAAGAGCTTTAACTCTTATGTTTGTGATATTGATGAGAGTATAAGGTAATACAATTAAAGACAAGATTATTTCTGAAAATATTAATGCTGTTCAAGTGAGTTAATTGGTTTTATATTTATAATATGTTTTATAAGTACTTTTCCTTTTCGCCAGTGCTGGCGATAAATTCACCAATGCAAAGTTACCAAGTGCAAATAAATTCAACTGTTTATTTTGTTAACATTTGAGGTGACAAACTATTAAAAAAAGACATAAAATAGATGAATTAAATATCTTTATGTACTTTATAGGGTAAAATAGTACGGTTTTATATTTAATTGATAAACACATTGTCATTTTATTTAATATTTTAAAAATTAAACCTCAATTTTGAAATATTTTTAGATTTTGTTATTGGCATCTAAAATTATAATTGAGATTTCATTTTAAATTTAACTAATTGTACTTTAAGTTTTCGTAATTTTTTTATTCTAAAAGAGCAAATAGCAATTGGTATTGATAAAGAAGAAAAAGATTTGAAATATTGGGGAAACTTTTTCTTTAAACACGATAATAATGCCCATAAAATTCTTTTAAATTCTTCAAAATTGATGGGTTAAATTCTCAAATTATACCACCCTTTGAACCTCATAAAAAAACGACAGCAAAAAATTGCAGCAGTTTATGAAAGACAAAATGATAAAGTTTTAACTTATAGATAAGGTATTATTTCCAGTGAATAGAATAAAAATAAAGCATATAATTTCAGAGAAAAAAATAAAAATGAATAAAATGTTAAAAATTATGATATCTTCAAGAATAAGAAAATATTGATCAATAAAAATTGCGTTTAAGAACAGAAAGTCCGGTCAATAAGATGGTGTGTCGCTACTTAATCTACGTATCCAGGGCTTTAGACTGTTCAAAGACGGTTATAACATGAAATTTATGAAAATGCATTCATAAATAGAGAGAATATCTTTTAAAATAAAAAAAAAGTGTAATCTTGTTCAATTTAATATATTGTTCAAAGATGATGTGCTTGGTAACTATTCTCAGCTATCCCATCTCAATTTTCGAATCATCTCATGCAATCAAGTCACATAAGTTTGATCTTTCCAACTAAACGTCAGCAACCACCTGTGAAATAGTTCTTATTTTCAGGTTTCTCTGAAATTTTTCAATAGTATAAAGGGTAAGTAAAAAGTTAAAAATACCATTTTTTTTCTTCAGCAAGCCGTTTTTTTAAAGCATACCATTTCTACATAAGTAATTCGTTTTTAATAATATCTAAGAATGTTGTTTGCTAATTAAAGTGTAATTTTTTTGATTTTTTTTTTCAGTATTTCTGTTTCAGTTCAAATAAATTTTGTTCATCTTTAGTAACTGTTGTTTTGCTGTTTTAAAAATTTGTCAATTATTATCTCTCCTTTCTCTATTTTATTTTTTCTTAGGTAATTCCAATTTTTAAGTGAATTTTTTTCCTTCAAGTTGAAAAAAAATATGCACGGAATTCCTTGTGTCTCTTATATTTTCGTATTAAATGTATAACTTAAAAACTACTGAAAAAATAAACTTCAAAAATAACAATTTTACTGACTTAAAACAATTAATATTTGTGATTTAATTGAAGATGTAATTATTTTTCATTATTATTGAAACTTAAAAGTTAACGCACTTTAATGGTCAGTTCAAATGAATGAAATTTCAAGCAGTTTTTTTGAAAGAACAAATGATAAGGTTTTTGGGTTAACTTAAAGGTTTTAAAGAGCAGTTTTCTTTTAATAATTTGTATTTTTTAAATTTCTGTAAATCACGCTTAACTGGAATTAACTATTTTAAACATTGTGGCATTATTACTTAATCTATTATCAATTTTGATTAATATTTGATTAGCTGGACCTCAGGCAATACAGATATTTAGACTGTACTATACTGTACTGAACAAGTAATATACCGAATTAATTTTGTAAAAACATAATTCTGATTTAGGAAGCATAACTAAATAAGATCGGCTCTTCTTTCTTACTCTAATTTCCTACTTAAACATAAAACAAGGACTGTATATATTCAAAATATTATTGGATAAATGACGCGGCTGTACACGGTAGCAAGGGCAGGGATGCCTCTAATGCTAGTGGGACATCCGCCTAATATTCAAATAAATCTTTCCTAATACTTTCCTTATAAAATGGAATATCATGAGTTTTTCTTTGGGGGGTGGGGGTAAGTGAGACCATTTGTAATATTGCATCAATTTTCAAAAGAAATTTAATGAATAATTTTGATAATTTAATCAATCAACTAAAATTTAAATTTAAAAGAAAAGTGACGAAGCTTACATTATTATTTCCGAAGCCTACTTATGAATTTAACTTTCATTGAAGTATAATGAAATAAATAATTTAAGTAAGACAATAAATGACTTCCACCTTCAAATGATTTTATTCATTGTGAAAACTGTGGTGTATCGCGATCGCAACGAACTATAGGGGGCGCTGTTGTATGAGATGAATACTTGCGATTTCTAAATGAACAGTCATTCAGTTACTCTGGAAACGTCTTTAATGTAGCGTGTAGCATTGTAACGTTTCTTCTTTATTGTGGCTTATTAAATTTAAAAAAAAAAAAATGCTTGATATTCTTTCTTATGCAAACGGAAACAAAATGGNTATCTCTTTTTTTTTTTAGGGAAGGAACATCCAAAACACATCGGAAAAATATTTGTAAATAAACAGGAAAGAAATATGTATCTTCTTATTAGAGTTAAAACCTCCTGAGAAATAGTTTCACTAAATTTAATGATATAACATGAAAAGCCTATTTAAACTTTACATTCCATAGTTTTAAGAATCATATTACTTCAAACATTAAAAAAAAGCAAAAAGTATACATAAGCCTCAAAATCTTACATGCAATTTAATTTTGTAAAAATAGTTTTTTGACAACAATTTTAATAAAAATCATTATTTAGAAACTAAAAAACCTAAAATAAAGAATGATTACGAAACAAACGAAAAAAACAATTCTAAAAATTCTTCACATTAAAATAAAAAAACGTTCATGTTTTTGTTTTATTAATAATCGGACGTAGAAAACCATTCTATAGAAAACTATCATCAAATAAGATAAAAAATTATTTACAAGTAAAATTTTTTATTTTATAAATTATAACACTTACCTGCTTTATAAATCCGGAGAATTCCAAAATGATATGTTCTTCAATTTTTGACTCCATTTTTTAGTGCTACAAAAATGCGTCTTTGGGATTTGCCAAAAATAGAACAAGATGCAATTTTATTTTTTCAGGAGCGAAATATTTTACCGAAAAAACGTACCTATTCCCNCGAAAATGTACCGATTCTTATGACATGAAACTTTATTATGGTAAACG